ACCCAGGGGAAACAGCGGGAGGAGGAGAGGGGGCTCGACTCACCAACTGTGTTAGGCGGCGGCGAAAGGGAGGCGGCGGCGGTAAGGGTTGGGCCGAGGAGCGACGGAGGAGGGGGAGAACTGGCAGCTGGGCGAAGCTTTTCCAGCAGCAGGTTGAAGCGGGCGTCGAGGTGCTTGTCGAGGCGGTTGAGGATCTGGCCTTCAAGAGCAGCTTCAGCCGACGGGCGGGGAGAAGAGGAGTCGGAGCGAGAGCGGCTAAAGTGAGGCAACGAGCGAGGGGAACAAGAGAGGTGCCTCATATGAGCGGAGGGAGGAGTTTGCATGCTAGGTGTTGGAGGTGCAGTGACGCCGGGCGAGGAGATGCCACGACAGCCAGCGCAGTGCTTAACGGCCTTTTTATGGGCGCCGACAAAATGGGAGGGAGGAAAACGGCCCTTGCACCTAGAGCAGAGGATGTCGCTCGGCATTAAGGGTCGGAACGTGTCTTGGGCTCGGAAGGGCCAAGTGACAAGGAAGGAGAAGAAAGGACCGAGAGTCGACAGGCAACTGAGAAAGACCATGTAGAGCTTGGGACGGGTGTGCCAGACCACGACGACAAGATACACGTTGCAACGGCAAGCCTACTGTGAGACACGTGGGACTTGAACCCAGCTAAAGCCACTGAAGGCAAACACGTTCAAGATCTGGGCTCGCCGGCCTCAGAACCACTCACTTGGGAGTGCTCCCTGTGTGTCAAGCAGGGGACGTGTGTCTTGGCCAGGACGTGCACCTGCCAACCAGAGATGTCTTTAACGTCCAGGGATCAAATCCAGACAGTCGTTCTGCAAGCGCACGGGCAAGCAGGTACGACGGCCACATGTACCACTGGCGGCGAGGGGTAAGCGGGGAAAGAGAGGAGGCGTGCAAGCAGAGGCCAATGAGAAAGTTGAACTGCTGGGTGGCAAGACTGACACTGCCAGGTGACAGCAAGGTCTGGGACAGAGAGGAGGGTGGTTTGATAGAAATTACCAAATTGAGCTGCTGAGCAAGTGGGGGAGTGAGGCCACAAGGGCAAACGTGGAGCGCCAGGAGCTGAGCAGTGAAGGAAGTGAGGCCTCAAGGACGAACGTGGAGTGCAGGGACCGCGAGTGGAGAAGGGAATAGCTCTGCCAGTGAAAGTTGACCGTGACAAGTATGAAGGGCCAGAGACAGTTGAGGGACGGGGGGAAGTATCGAAAAGAAGTGACGCAGCGGAATCCAGTGAATGTCGACCGTGACGAGATATAGCAAAGGTAGACCATGATGAGCGGGAGAAGGGCCAGGGACAGTCAAAGAACAGATATCGTAGTGCAGCGGTTGGAGTACCAGAAACGGTCGAAAAGTGAGGAGAAAAGGTGAGAGTGTCGTAGTGAAGCTAGATGCGGGTGAGCAGTGCTTGTGCTGTGAAGTTGGCGAGAAGGCGGGAGTGTCATGGTGAAACCAGTTGCAGGTGAGCAGCGCTTGTGCTGCAAAGTTAAGATGATGCTGACGCAAGTTGAGTGCAAAAGCAATTGTGTGAAGAAAAAACACTGCCTCACGAGGACAGTGCTTGGATGATGGTAAGAGAGTGAGAGAGAGAGTGAGTGAGACAAGTGCAAAACGCTTGACTGAGCGCGCGCTCGTGTGTTGGCCAAAAACCGAAATTTTCTCAGGTGATCGGCTCTCTCGGCCATCACGCTGCATTGAAGAGCACAAATTAAATTCGCTTCACCAATATTGGCCCAGCCAACGCTTGCAGATGTCGGTAACTGGAACACAACACACGCACCAACAAGTCTCTTACAGATGTCGGTAAGGAACCACCAACACATCCATTGCGCAGGTTCCCACACAACTTGGATCTTGGAAACGGTCTTTACTTTGGCAACTTGGTTTCCCCGGAATGCATGCCTATGCCATGCAATGCCCAATCTTTACAGACATCTTTTAGCAGTCATTACTGATGGGACAACACTGCCAACAGTTGTCCCTATGGACAGGTGTTTACATCACAAACCTCAGATCTCACAGTACAATCATCTTGATCGTCTGCTCACACTCTTTACATTCATACAGCTATCTTATCCTGGGAACCAGTTGTAGCTATAGGCTTGGAGACTTTGTCTCCACGGTTGATTGTACATCACCGCTATATGCCTGCTACATGTTTGGCGGGCATTATCACTCATCTTCACCAACCATAATGATGTATGATAGCTCTGCACATATATATAGAGATGTCTTGACGGAGTACTCAACATCTTCCACAATCGATTCTTTACCTATTTTCCCACATCACTAACTACGTCTGCAATACCTTGACTTTGTTTCCTTTGGATCGCTAAGTACTCTATCTACGTTGCAGCTCCTCTTTGTCCCTGCTGCCTGTCAACTCAACTGTCCACCCCGGGCTACGGATTGTATCTGGACTGATATAATAACTGATTCAGCTCTACAAGCCAATCCACCCATTGTGAGGCCTTTAGCAAACTAGCTACTTGCTTCTGCGTCTTTGACAAGTTACAGACTGATAAACCTGGCTGTCTGCCGCCTGCGGTAGCTCCTTGGCAACGTCAACTTCCAATAGACACCAGTTGGACAAATATGCTGATGCAGCAGGTGACCACATTCTCCAACATATAAGCAGATTCACAAAGTCAGGCCTGCAACCCCTGACAGGTAGCTAGCATGCATGCATTTGTGTCAACTCTGCCATTCTTTCCTTTGAGGTTGGACAGTAATCCCAAAGCTCTCTCAACTAATCAACTGCAGAAAGGATCAAAACAACTATCACATGATTGAACGAAGATGCCAAAATGACATTTCTTCCACACACTAGCAGAAGCCACATTCATGCTTTTGGTTATTGTGTAATCCAAGAACCACTTTATAAGTCTGTGTTCCTCTTCTACTTGTAACTCTTGGCTAGCAATGGCAAACAGAGTTATAGTGAAAAAAAGCATGTAGTGCTATTGCTGTACAGACTACCATCAAGTCTTGGTCATAGAATCAACTACTTTTCAATTAACTACTTTTTGAGCACTAGCACAGCAAACTTGCCTAGCTCAATTTGCATATAAAGGCATGGTTCTTGACAATTCATTCTCATCTTGCTCCATGCAAATCCCACCAGTGTCTCAGTCTTTCAATTCTTCCCAGTAGCCTTCATTGTGCACAGCCTCACATCCTTGATTTTGACCACTCTTCTCTGATTTGGCCATGTAGAATGCCACACTTTACTTTTGCAGAGCAGACCTCTTCTGTCAGACTTTGGAGAGTAAAGCAGCTATGGAACGTCCACGGCAAAGTTAGTTAGACTTCTTGTGCAAGTGTGACTTACAGGTTCTAGGTACCTAGATGTCAGTCTAGGTGCCTACAGTGGTCGAGTAGCAATCTCGAGCACAGTTAGTAAGTCTAAGAGATTCGCTCGGGGAGAGTTCTAGTTGTGATTCCAAGAACTAGACCCCAAGAACTGGCACTTGTGCATGATGCAGAGGTTCGGAAGCTTAGAATGAGAGTATTGCCCCGAGAACTTGATCTAGGTAGCTAGATTTGTGACTCAGCGGTAATCTTACTGTCACCGGTTTAAAGGGGAATGATTTGATGATATTTCTACTGACGGCAGGGGAGAATATACAAGTATTTATGGTTTCTGGCGTCCCTCATACGTGAGTTGTTTTCTTACTGGACTTCCCTCCAAGGGGAAGTCCCTTCATCCGCCAGACGTCCCTCAGGTCTAGTTACCTATTCCTTGGGTGAGTTGCCTATACTTGTGTTTTGGGGAGTTGCCCCATTCTTTACTGGTTGGCCGTCAGCCCATTTTGCTTTGTTGTTTCCTTTGGACTTCGTCTGTTTTTGTGGTCTCGTTACCTAGACTCCAGTGTAGTCATTGGTTCCACCAATTGGGTGGTTGTGTGCTCCTATCTGTCCAACCATAGACTTGTCTTCTTTGGTGACTCCACTCTGTTGAGTGTGATTAGATCGGATTGTGATGGTTCTAGGGGTCAACGTACATCTAGGTAACTAGATGTGTGTTTAGGCGGTGAGTCTGGATCCTCGTTATCAGATTGGTCCGTAGGATATTTTGCGGGGAGTTTTGGAGGAGTTATGATTGGTTGCATACGCAACTTAGCAATCTTGTCCGTTAATTGGTGAACTAGCTACCTAGATTGCAGAATCTCACCGTGAGACATGTTTGAGTACGAGATGAAATTTGTCGAAATACTTGCGTATTTCAACATCTTCAACAGTACCAACTGTCCAGGTGTCTTTGAACTGGGTCCAGCTGGGGGTCCAAACATTCATTACACAACAAGCCAAGTTGAAGTCCCACAGATTGTGCTCAACTACTCTCAAACAAATTGTGCACAGCAGTTCAGGGATGTTGAGTGCACCAATCTGGTTAATAAGCTGGCTGGTCAGAAGGTCAAAATTGAATGCAGCCTATTGTTGATCATCTTGCTCACTTGACTGATGACAGCAGCCTCTGCCCAGGCAATTCTTGGTAGCTGCAAGACCAATCAGGATGAATTCAGAGCCGCTGCAGCTCCTTGAGATGGACAAGATCCAAATCTAGGACCTGCACCACAATGTGGAATCAACGTTTACAGCAACCAGAACAGGGAATCAATGTGATTCTACTTTTGGTGCAGGCTATATGGAATTGTATTCAATCACAGGCACCTACTCTGCTTTGGTGCCTGTGGGACAATATGGCTATCTCCAAAGCTATAGTGATGCCACCCAGTTTGATGGCACTTATACAGAATGTGACAATGAAATGGACAAGCTGGCAACTGCGCTTGTTGTGCACAAAAACTCCCAACATTACAGCCTAACTATTGTGTCATGTTGATCAATCAAGCTCTTCTTTCCTGTCATCGCTTGTGTTTATCTGTTTGTCACAAGTCGATGGTACATGTTTACGGTTGCTCGTCAACAATTTCGAAGAGAAAAAGGTGTTCAACTTCATCTCAAGAATAATTAATTGATCCAAAAAAGTTCGACACGTGCAGGGTTTGAACCTGCGCTCGCAATGCGAATTAGTTAGCAGCGTCGCTGACAGCCGTTGAAATTGTTGCAATTCAAGACTAACCCCTTAACCACTCGGGCAACGTGCCTTTCAAGTCCCTGCGATGGGGCCATTTTGTATATATGATATCTAGAGTAAAGTCGGAGTTCCGCGCCTACTCACGTAAGGATTCGAGGACGCACTCAGGCAGCATCGGGCAGAATGCCACACGTTTCTAGGGGAGCACGTACAAAGCACGCACACATGTCAAGTAGTGCTTTGCTTCTCGCCAGATTGAGCACAGACGGCTCACATTATTGCAAAAACTGTGCATGCGTGTTTTTGTTGCAGTCCTTGGCAGTAGCGTACAATTACATATATGGGTGGTGCCGTCGCTGCGTATTGGGCGACACGGGTCGGTCGTAAGACGGTGCGGCGGAGGCATGCAGCGTGGATGCGGAACGCTGCCTACCAATCTGCGGAGGAGACGGATACGAGCTTGAGCTTCCTTGCGAGTTTCCTTGCGAGTAGGGTCGCAGATATCTTGCTGGGCTTGCAGCGCTACTGGTGGGACGGCCAAGGAGCTGCTCAAAGCTTTCGACGTGTCCTAGCGAGTTGGCCCGACCCGAAGCCGAGCGCATGTGGGTTTCGTCGGCATATCGCTGCATGGGAGCCGCAGGGATGCTGCCACCGCTATAGGGTCTCATGACATTGTCCATGGTACGAGGATCCATTCGATCAGAACCGCTTGTGTTTGACATTGTTGGCCTATGATGAGTCATCTGATGAGCGAAAGGAGGTTGAAAACTATCGCGAGCCGGCCAGGGCTGACCGGAAGGCGCATTGTCATGCGGGCCGTCGTGGAAGCGTGCCGCGTGCATATGTGTAGCAGAGAGATGAGGAGCGTGCAGCATGCTGACGTTGCCACCGGGCGTCGACGATGATGTGGCACGATTGCGCATGCCATTAGCCAGGTTGAGTTCGGCTCGTAACGCCTCGAGGCTAGCCTGCTTGGCACCCGGCGACTCTTCGCGCTCGCGCACAATCTCCTCGGCACTTTTGCCGCTAGCTTTGGCAGCAGCCTCAGCTTCCTGTTGCTTGCGCTTGGTGAGCTTGGCATAGAGGAGGCCACACGCGTTGCACAGCGTTCGCGGACCCATGGGGCCTTTCCTCCACTCTGGTGTCTCTTTGGCTTGGCATCCAAGGCATTCTTGGTGATGTTCGTTCTTGCGCTTTCGGACTCTTTTCATTCCTTTTCCAGCCAGACGCCTGCGGTCGAGGAGCTCCATCTGTTGCTGATAACGGCCGTCGGGATGATACATGTGCGGCACGCCTGAACCTGTGAGTGGGTGTCGCATGGCGTGATCGTTTTGCATCCTGGCATCCATCTCGAAGCGGTGCGGATCCATTGAAGCATGAGGATTCTGGTGGCGATACTGGACAGGTCGTGGCTGCTCAAAGGAGATGGCTCTCGAGATGGTGCGAAGTGATGGGTCGGTATGAACTGGATGCGACGCGTACGCGCCAGGCCCGCTCACATGGTAGCCGCTGCGAGCATCGTCGTATTCGGTCTCGCTTGCTTCGCTGTAATGGCCATAGTCAACATCGCGGTGGTGTCGCTCCTCCAAAGTCAAACGCCCCATGGATGACTGGGTCCTTTCAGCAGGATCGGTCGGGGGCCATGTTGGATGACCGGCCTGACCAGAAACGGTGACAGACGCGAGGAAGCCGTTTTGCTGAGGTGACGAATCTCCAGGTGCTCTGCGACTGGGAGCAAAATAGGCAGGAAGTCCGAGGTGCTTGGCGACGGATTCGGCGCGGGACTGTGAGAAGAGAGCCATGGTGTGTAGCTCGTCTTGCAGCTTGTTGCGAAGCGTCTCTGCAGCACCGGCATTGTGAAAGATAGAAGGCGAAGCCGGACCTCCCGTGTTGAGGCCGAGGCGTCGGTTGATGTCTTGAACGTAGATAAGGCCCTCGAGAAGTCGGTCAACCTCGGTGGCGTCGGCGAGGGAGGATCTTCTGGTCGGATTGTGCATCCTGTTCCTGTGAGGTGAGGAGTAGGAACGGGGCCGGTTGGATTCAACGACACCGCGCATAGAGGCTTTGAGTGCTTTGGGTGATGTTGACGAGGTGGTCGCCGAGTTGCGCAGAGTTGGAGAGCCTGACATGGAAGTCATGCTAGCGACTTTGTGATTGGTGGGAGAGTATGCTGCTGAAGTTGGCCGTGATGTCGCGGGAATTCCACGGTCTATGGACCAACGTCGATCATGAGAGATGGACGTCGCGCTTGATCCAAGGTTGATCGTCTGTGTTTCTGTGTCTTGGATCGGTAGGTCGCGCAATATGGTTACCGGACTTGGATCGACAAGATTGCGTCCATGGGTTGACGATGTCTCGTGCCTGCGGTCGAGGTCGATGGAGGTCGTGAGAGATGAAAGAGGAGGTAAGGTCACCTTTGTCTGCCTTGTGTGGTGCTCCATGTTTGCGCTTGCGTCCGAAGACGATGAGTAGGGACGAGGAGGTGTATGGAGGTGAATGGCAAGGCTTTCATCTGGTTTGATAGCGTGCAAAAGAGAGGCACTCTCGACACGACCAAAAGAAAAGGGAGCTCTGGGGGATGCTCGGTGTCCAAGTGCACCCAGCAGCAGCGGAAATGCAGGATGGGGTTGCAAATTCTAGCGCAGCCCAGATTGCGGACCTGATAGAAGCAACGGAGGCATGAACGAGGATCTGGGGAAGGACAAGGTGGCTGGAATGGATCTGGACATGGATGGATCAAGATGGGCCATCAGCAGATGAAGATGAGATGCCAAGACGACGAGGTGGGGAGGGATGGGTAGCAAGGAAGGGAGAGAGGGAGGGCACGGAGGGAGGGAATGGAGGCAAAGGCGAGCGAGATAGAAGGAGCGCAAGACGAATTCCCAGTTGAGTAGAACAGATTGACAACAGCATGACGAGAACAACGTGATACCCGAATCAGGACAGACATACTGATAGCCTCGGCCCTGCAGGATGCTTCTAGATGCGGACCATGGATAGGTCTACTGTACAGTACAGTAGAGTGTACAGCCGTTGGACGTATCGGGGTGACAAGCAATGAGTCGCCTGCTGCTGCATTGTTGGCGAGCTGGGACGCATTAAGAAGACACAGACACACACGCAGAGACACACAAGGAATCCATCGAAAGAAGACGCCGGACCCGGAAGAACTTTTCGCGAGGCCGCTTCCGAGTGGCTCGCTCGCTTCCAAGTATCGAGATGGCGAGATCGCGGAGAGCAGACGTAACACGCACTCGCTAGCATTGCAATTAAGGTTGCGAGGTCCATGATCCTTTTGCAATCGGCCCCGTGATCTGAGCCGGTCACAGTCATGATCACCGAGCTTGTTCCATCCAAACTCTGCATTTTTGAGCCGAAACGCCATGACGCCACTTTTTTGACCTTGCTCATCAACTAGCTCGCCTCGGCATCCACTTTACTGTACCACCTCAACCTAGTTTGTGCTTTGCTTTGTGTGCGCCCTGATGACATGCAACAGCAACCGCAAATCAATGAGCCAGCCAGTGCTCATGTATCGTACAGTACTGTACAGTGTGATCGACTGGTGTTGCGCCATTTCACATTTCCGACTCCGACAATGTGGTTGGTGTTCCAAAGAGTGTGTAAACTCGCTTCGAAATCTCGACCCTTGGGAAAGCGGCTGCATGTGGAACGACGACTCGGAGATTCAACCTTGAATGTCCGAGCTCTTTGCACATGATCTCAAGGGTTCATCGAGATGACATGCTGCAGTTCAGCCGGCTTGGATTCCATTCTTGGGAAAGACTTGAGCGACCTCGCTTGACAATGTCATCAACCACGATGCAGGACCAAGACGATTGATTTTCTACACAGCATCCAGGTGTATTGTACGGTCTTTTTCGACCACCACGAGCCAAAGAGGCCTCTCATGCCTCTAAATTGAACAACAGACGCACAGTCCATGTAGTGTACATGTTTATTACCTACCCTAGATTGAAGCTATTGCCGAGAGAATTCAAGCCGGGATAGCAGCTGGAACAGGCACTCTGCTTTTAAGCCGGACAAGCTGACCAGTCTCGACCTCCGACTTGAAGCTCCGCATAAAGATGTCTGTCGCCTTGACCAGAGTTGGGGTTCTTTGATAACTTTGACTCGAACCAAGGCGCCTGCTTGCATTCTGGTCGAAACCAAGCTCGATGAGGTGCTTATCTCAACTCACTCACATTGCGACCTCCGTAGAGATGGTTGAAATCATGAGCTCGTTGGTCGGTTAGCAACCAAACTTTGGTTTCCAGATGCCGAGGTCGGTGCTAAGGGCCCAGCTACTGTACAGAACTGTAGTGTCAAAGGCTTGGGCGCGCGCCTTTCGGACATGCAAAGCAGTCGATCGAAACTCCGCCGAAGCGGATGTACTGTAGTGTCAAGCATGCAGCTTGGACCTGAGATCCAGCGGTCCCACTATTTATTAGCGTGGAAAAAAAAACACATGAGACGCCCGGGTCATCTTGATCTGACCTATCGACGCTACAGAAGAAATATCTCAATCACATGATGGGTCGAGACCAAATCCTACACAGCCTGAAACCATTCGAAAATCTATTTTTAATTTCGATTCAATAATTCAATAAATCGGGATCTCATCGATCAATTTTCAATGTGGCGACATTGGTTGATCGGGAAAGACCTTTCGTTCGTTGCTCCTCCACATCAACCTCAATCAAAGGCAAGACTGTCGTTGCACAACACCACCGACTACAGCACAATACAGTACAGTCCATACATCATCGACCATAAGCTGTCTCGCTCGCTTGCATTGCAACGACGCTCCAAGCAGATATGCATCGCCTCCACTGAGCTCGTCATGGGCTTGCATCTGACCAAACCAACATGGTCCACCTTCGCCTAAACGATCCCGACACGTCACGCAACAAGCACATCAACTACATTACTGCACTACCCCAGCATGCCGATTGCGAGCATGCACACCACAGACTGCTACAGCTTGCAGCTCAGGTGCAACCCCTCATGAAGAAGCATGGTTTCCAGATCAACTCACTCGAAGAGTTTCAATGGAATCCAGAATTCGCA